CTGCAGTGAGCATATTTCCTTCTGACACGTTTTTTCAAATAAATAGCAAAGAAATGATAATTTATTGCAGCATATTTTTCACATGAATGTTGACTTACATGTTTTTTGTGGGTTTTTTGGTGCTATGTTTCCTCTCTGCAAGCACATACTGAATTCTAAAATCAAGTCAGTATTTTGGTGTCTATGGCATGTTACTACACTGGAACGCTTGACATTCCGGTGGTATTTGAGAGTGTCCAGAAGAAACATTTTTTCAGAGAGACACTTAACACAGAAGGCCAAAGGTGTCTGTAGAAGTTACAACCACACTAATTTTTCTGAAATACGTGTAGGAGTACATAGAGGAAAATAAATGTTGCTGGGTACAAACACCACGAATTTCTATAGTGTCCTACTTTGCAGAAAAGACAATATAAACATAAAATAAAATTGAGGCTTTTGACTGTCCACTAAAGTACAATCGTTACTGTAATTTCTGCGCAAATTTCCTGCTTGTAAAAAACCTGCACGCAGCATGCGTGCTTTCTAACTTCTATGGCAGGTCTTAAGAAGAAAACTAAACCTTTTTTTTAAGGGCAGCGTAAATGCTGTACTGGGTTTATGTTGGAACTCTGGGTGCGTGTCACTTAGAGCTATTTCCAGTTCCCGAGTTTTACAGATTATTATTTACCTTGGTGTTGTGGGTGCTGTAGTAAATAACAAGTGACTTGATGAGGATGACAGAGAACATAATTTTTGAGTTCACGTTTAAAACTCCCGAGTTCCTAAACTAGAGAACAAATGTGACTGACAGTAACTGTATCAGATTTTGGAAAAACTCTGTTTTCTGTTTTTCCAAAAAACAGAGTTATTTATATAAAACCTCTGCTATTTCAAGTTTTGTAACAAGCTCAGCTGTCCCATAAAATGGAGACTAATACTCTGCCAGAGGGTAGGGTTCCGTGCAGCTGTTCCAGTGACAAATACCATAGATAAAGCCACAGTTCAGTTTTCCTGCAGGTAGACAATCCAAAGATCGTGCCTCTTCCAGTGCAAAATACAAAGAAAGAAACAGCATTAGATAAACCTTCTTTCCTGGCAGAAATTGCCATCAATTTCTTAGTTGGGAGTCCTGCATAACATGAAGGAAATCACTGAACAGGCACCTGATTTACATTAGTATAAATGAGTGCAGAATGGCTGTCGTAGATGTTTTTGTCTTTCCCCTTCTCCTTTCCCTGTGTTACATATTATTCTTCAAGAATATAGGAGAAATTATGAAAGGTAATTAATCAGATTCCTTTAGATTCAGGTTTAAAGGCAGTCTAACAAAATGGCACTGTAAACTCCCTCCTTATTAGCGCTGTACGTGCCTTTCGTGCCAGGCTGCTTCAAAATTACACAGTTCTTTACGAGAAAGACAGCCTGAAAATGTTTAAATTGAGTTTGTAATTGATTTTGCGTTATCTTTCAGATCCTCACATCTGGTTAATACAGTCCTCGGTTCGGTTTGTAATGAACTCACAACAGTTCTGGACTTTGTGAACCTCGAATCTGAAGGTGAACCTGTCACTGGGCACCTGCTGATTTTCTGCCTATTTGTGACCTTAATGTTGCCTGTTGCTATTCATAGTCTTTTTGATTTTATTTTCAGTCCTGTGATGCAGTGATCCAAGTTCAGCACAGAAGAGTCTGTTGGGCTGCCAAAGCCAAAAGACAACCTACAGCAATTCCGAGTGGTGGAAGAGACATAGCAGCCTTTGGGATTATCGCTTAGCAACTGCAAACACAGAGGAGTAAAACTCACAGCCCGGCTCCACGGCAGGTTTGAGAAATCCCTAATTCACTTCAAGATTTTTAATGGCTGAGAACAGATGGACATATATTAAATTCCTGTTCATTTGCAAAGCCACTTTGAAAGCAGGAGGAATAAGATCTATTTTCATACCTGCTCCAAAGGTAAGAAAAACAATTCTTCAAAGCTTCAGAAAGCAAAAGAGAAAGTCTTTTTAAATTTTAATTGTATTGAAAAGAAAATCATGTATGAAAAGGGTATTGGGCTCTTTGTGATTGGTGAGATAAACATGCTCTGTGAAGCACGTTAGGGAAAAGCAAAACTATTCTGAGCAATAGCATGTCAAAGATTCCGTTTTTGAAAATACTTTTGTAACCCAAACACCTCCAAAATATTTACCTGGACAAACTTTAGTCTTTCCTGGCCCTGTCCCACCCATCAAAATCCCCTAACAGAATAACAGTGAAGCAATAAAAATCTTATTTATGAGCATATTTGGGTTTTGTACAGAAAGCAGAGAGATAATCTTTTTGTACCTGCAGGAAAAGCAGGAATATTTCTCTCATAGGAAAGGAGCCAGGAAAGTGGCATCCTACTAAATAATGAAAAGCTTATCTTGCCTTCAGCTTGAGCAGAGGCTTACAGGAAACTTTATATCACATTTCAAATTTCCTGGGTGTTTCTAAAGCTGGTCTCTGTGCGCCATGCTTACTCTTACTTGGACAATCGAGCCTCCAATTGGGAATGTCATAGGCCTTGAGAGCTCTCTGTGTTATGGGCCAAGTTCTCAACTGATGTAAATCAGCGCTGAAGTTTATGGGTCAATGGTGTCTTGTACAAACTCGAGGTGTGTCCCCGTAATGCTCGACAAATTCCAAGTTTCAGGGCCTGATTCTGGCACTCCTTTGTTTTTTTTTTTAACAGTTACATGCAGTTCGTATGCTCTTCTGTACTCTCTTAGTCTGCTTTGTCCGTTGGGCGTTAAAACAGTGGGCATAGTTCTCTGTGACCTGCCTACAGTCTTGGAGTTATGCGAATGCCGTGGGATTGAAGTGGAACAGTCGCACTCATTTGTGTTTTCATAGATTCATAGATTCACAGATTTCTAGGTTGGAAAAGACCTTAGAGATCATCGAGTCCAACCATCCCTAATCCCCATTAAACCATATCGCTAAGTAGATCATCCACCCTATTCTTAAACACATCCAGGGATGGGGATTCAACCACCTCCCTGGGCAGCCTATTCCAGTGGCTGTTTTGTTTTGTTTTGTTTTGTTCAGAGACATAGAGATACTTTATAAACATTTACTAATTCTCAAAATTATCCTAACAAATGGTTGAGAACAGTGTCGAAAATATATTCGTCATCATTCAGAACCAGCCACCTCATAAAGCAGAGTGCAGTTGTCACTTTAACATTGCACAGAAACTGCAGAGCGGTTTCATAAAAGATGTTAAAAAATAATGTAAGTATTTGAAACTGCAAGAACAGTTTATTTTGGCACAAGAAAAGCGGCTGATTTGGAATGTGAGCAGAACATTTGGATAACACCCTGCTTTGAACCAGAAAGAGTCTGGTTTTACAGCTTATTGAAAGAAACTCACCTAAGCAAGGAACAATTTGACAGGGTTGACAGGTTTCCCTTTCTACCATCATAAATCTGAACTCCTTTACAGCTCATGTCCTTCAGTGGCAAAACCAGCCACCATCTTAAAACCCTCTGTGTCTGTCAGGCAGGCAGCTTGGTCCATAAATCCACTCCCAGCAGGTAATCATCTTTGAAAAGAAATTACTGGAAGATGCCAACAAGCCCATCGAGAAAACAGACATAGAAATTTAGTGTTAGGAAGCATCCTATCTATCCAAGCAATATTTGGACTCAAACAATGGTTATGAACCAGAAGGTCAACATATTAGTAATTACATTTGTGTGCCAGGAGGGCTGTAGATCACATTTATGCATTTCCTGGAAAGCTGAACTCTATTCAGAACAGCTACAGATGCTTAAAAATGAAGAGCAAAACACATCAAAAGGAACAGTATTGCTATGGATACTGAAAGGCCTTAATGAAAAGCACTTTTAAATACGAGCTTGGAAAGGATGGTGTGGCAGCAAGTTCAAAGTGGAGTTTCGTCTTTAATTTGGAAAGGCGTTAGGCTCGCTCTGTTAATATCACCCTTCCCTTGCTGTTGTTGAACACCGAGCTGGGTTTTTTCGCAGCATGCTGGTGAATTTTCATGCTTTGAATCAAGAAGTTACTTAGGCAACATTCTGCTCCATTCTGTATGTGTAAGTCCCATTACAGATGCAGACAGTTATGTGTGGAGACGTTTTGCAAGAGTTTTTAAATTGTGCCTTGTGAGCAACTCGGTTTCTTCCTGATATTTCACAGAATTAACATTTTTTGAGATGAAAACAAATGAGTTTGGGAAATCGTAAAGGGAGTTATCTGCAACTCTCTATAGGTCTGTCTTTTACAGAATAATCTACAAGATTAAGTGCTTGTGAACAGCTTAATTACAGAGTTCCTCGCATAGAGTTTCCCTCTCTGTAGGAGCTCTGCTGACCCATACACCTGTGTCCTTGTTACCTTAACAAAATGTCCAGAGGAAAAAATAGTTGCCAAAGTTGAAATTAAGTAGTCTATGGGACAAGCTTCTTCACAGTTTTTCACAGCTACAGAAAAGATGAAACAGAAGAAGGCATGTAGAGAAATCTTGCTCCTAGGCATCTGGTATTTTCCAATACTTGCTTCCTTTGTCTCATATCCACTGGATTTCCTGGAGGCATGGAATGGGATCTAAACAGAAATAATGATACTGGGGGTGAGAGGCATCCACTGGTTAGAACTGTGGGCCGAGACTTCCGAGCACTGTTCACCACTTGGTTTCCGGGTCTCTAAGTGACCTGGAATTAATCACTTGTCTTCTGTGTCTCAGTTTCTTCTCCCATAAGAAAGAAACACACTTATTTAGTTGCTGTCTCCAAGGGCTGTTGTGATACATAATTAATCTTTATAAATCATTTACTCATCTTTGAAGTAAAGAGGCTGTATTTATTTAAGAGTACAAAGCAGCAGTAACAGAATCAAAAAGGAACTAGAAAAAGAATATTAGTTAATTTCTAACAATAGACTTTCTTCCTGTGTCATCTGCTAGGACACTGCTGCATCTTTTGGCATTATATAATGTGCTGCTTTTGTTCTGTGTCACAGTGATTGGAGTATGGCTGCTCAGCCTGAAGAGGCAGCCCAAACTGCAGGTCTAGAACATCCCAAACTTGGAGGTAAGAATACGACTGCCGCAGAAATGAAAAGAAATCAGGACAATGATGAGCTGCCATGTCTTAGTAATTATGCTGCATGGAAAGAGCGTTTTTATGAAAAGGTACAGCAGAGATGTCTGAGCCTGCAGGAGACAAAGGTGAAGACGATTCGCACGCAAAAGGCAAAAGAAGAAAAGGTAAAGAAGAGAGAACCCTGTGACTGGCTGTCCAAAGAGTGGTTCAGCGAAGAGAAAGAGTCACTAGATACTCGCATCTATTTGCTTGACAAACTCCTACCTACATTAATCCCAGGAGTGGAAAAACTGTTAATGGAAGTGGAAAGAAAGAAAGTGCTTGTACCAGGCAAAGAACCAACCAAATTTAACCCCATCAATTTTCTTGGGGAATATCTGATGACACATAACCCTCAGTATGGTATTTCTACAAAACCAGGCCCGTACCTGAGAGGAATGAAGATGGTCACAGAGGAGCTAAAAACTGAGATGCCAAGTACAGCATCAGAGAGGTGAGAGAATTGAAAGTGTCTCGATCTCTGTTTTACAAAAGGAGTGGTGTGACTGCAGCCTGGCTGGCCAAGCGTTGAACAAAGTGAACCTTGTGGAGTACGGTGCCAGAGATGGTAGTTGTCTCTCATAACAACTTGAGAAGCAGGACAAATGCCAGAACATGTCGCACAAATCGAAACACTGGTCATTTCTGTTTAAGGCAACATTCTGCCCTTCACAAGTATATAATTCCTCTTTAGACTGTATCTTAATTACATATGTGGAATGCAAACTGCTTTCAAACCAGTCTAGGTTAGTGACAGCAGTTCTTTAGGACAGGTGTTACTATCGAAGGTCTATGGACTCTTCAGATCATTTCTCCTACATTCTTCCAAACTTATTAAAAAGAGAACCTTTTTTACCTCCTTCAGGAGGATTTCTCTTGACCAAACCAACAAAAATGTTGTCCTGACACATTGTAGAAACTCCTTCTCCTGGGATTTTTACTTAGGCTTTCCTTTCAGATTCTTTTTTCCCTTTAAAGTAGAAACTCTTTTGTGTTTTATTATGTTGCTTATTTCTGGGGTGTATTCTAGGCTGCTTGCTTTAGCATAATATTTAATGAGTGTTGGAAGGGCCTTCCATGGCGTCTTACAGTATGCTAAGGTTAGAATGTGAGTGCATTAGGTGAACAGTAATGCTTTTTTTTCGTTGCTCTATTCAGAAAAATATAGAAGTGAACATTTGTGTTTACACAAATGACCCAGAGGTGATTGTGAATGATGTCAAAATTACTCATTCACTACTAGATCACTTTATTCCATATCTGTGTTTGTAGAATAATGAATTCTATTTGAATGGCTGTGTCTTCTATTTGCATAAGTAGTACATCCAGCTTGAAAATTGGTTTCAGGGTTTCAGTGTCAGGAATTAGGGAAGTAAAATGTTGACATGTGTTATGCATAAACTCTAAATGAAGATAATTGAAGTTCCCAGTATTAAAATGAATAAAAGAATATGTTAAATCTCTCTCTACTGCTCTGAGTTTCTGTCTCTCTACATTTCTAGTCCACATACTGTTACAGTTCATAGGAACATGCCTTGTGTGAGTACAACTAAGGCAGTGTGATACGTGAATTTCATGCAGTCACTTACCTCCTTTTTCCCCACAGATAATAAAATATAATAAAAAAAAAAAAAAATTATAACTGACTGATCATTGTCAGCATGTAAGAGCTGAGCTTTTTGTTTTTTTCTTCATAGCACAACCAGAGCTGGTAAAAGATTTTCAATTTTATTTTTCATTTTTTAGATGCCTTCCATTGAAACAAATGATCTGGGGATCTGGGATCATGTTCTTTTCCAGAGAGCTTTCACTCAAGCACAGGCTGTTCTGGGGGGATGTTTAGGATGCCAGTCTTGCCACACTTTTGTTTTGGGGACTGTTTCACCATTCATATTGCTTCACAGAGGGTGACTTGGATGCAGGAAGTTCAGAAATATATCTCATTTTTATTTTGCAAAAGCAATTGAATTAAAATACATAAAATTTCCCGGGGTTTTGGGCTGTTTTTTTGTTTAGGTTTGGGTTGGGATTTCTTTCCTGCTAAAATACTTTTAGCTTTCATTGTGAACCAGAGATTATCTCTGGAGAGGTCAGATTTTCCTACGGAATGCGAAGTGTTGGCTACCAGTGACATGTTATCTTGGCTTTGGCTGTTAAGTCCATGTTTACATTTGGAGACAGGTTCTCAATTTCTATCTATCAGAACTGATGCAAAGCAAGTGACTATCAAGACTTGTAGCAATCACTCTCTCCGTAGACAGCACTGCCATGGGGGTTTGTGTAGCCATAGCTGTAGCAGGTTTTGCGTATCGGCTGGTAGTAGTATCATGGGATTTGCATTCACAGCAGCTCAGGATTTACATATTTGTGATGGCTGTATTGTGGGATTTGCATAGGATTCTTAAACCACAGCAGCACAGAGGATTTTACTGACACTGTGTTGCTCTGAGACTCCTAATGTGAGTCCCTGGCTTTCTAAAGAGGAAAAAAATGTTACAAGAGAAATGCCAGTCTATGCTCAAAATCTCTCACATAAGCGCCAGAAAGATAAGGAATGAAATTCTGGCCCAAATGAAGCTCCTGGGAGGCTTGACATTACCTTCAGGAAAGGCAGGATTTCAGCACAGGTCCTTATCTAAAGCTTACTGGTCCTCCAGGAGCTCTCTCGGGCTTCCTCTGGTCTCTCCTTAACTGCCACCTGAGTGGGAGCCAAGGCATGCAGGAGAACAGATGGGAGAAATTCCTTATCCCAATGGACTGATACCTGAAACAGAGACTTGATTTGTCCGGGGATGGTAGTCCTTCAGCCTGAGTCACCCATCCTTGTGTGGGAGTTAGGCGGCTGTCTTCCTGAAGAAACATGTTCTGTTCTGCAGGGAGAAGTCACCCTCGCTGCCATCTCATCTTTTCTGGAAATGTCTAGTACTGAAATGTGCTCACTCTGAAACGAGTGGCCAGCACTGTTATAGCCTGTTTTGCCTTTATTGTCTAGGAGGGAACACTTTGTCCCACGCCAGGGACACCTGGCAGAGGATACAGCTCTTCCATGTTTTAGGACCCTAGAAATAAATGCAGAACTGCAGCACAGCGCAGGTGCAGCATGCAATGTAACTCATGCTGGGCACTGCCCAAATTAATCCCCAGAGCAACTTGGCAACTCCTAACACAGCCTTAGCTCTGCTTTCAGCTTGCAGACCGCTCCTGAGGAGGAGCTGCAGCTAGAAATTGTCTGGTTTTCTCTTTCTGCCTGTAGTACACATTGGAGAAAGATCTGTTAGTCCATGCAGCTTGGTGCCTGCTACCTACGTCCTCTTTGCTGCGTCCGTGACAGAGTCAGAAGATGATAGGAAATTGTTTTACCCTTCCCTTGGCATCAAAATGTCAGGGTTTGAGCTGCCCCAGCTTGCACTTGTGCAATGCCCACGACTGATTAAGGGACCCAGTTATTCGTTAAGAAACCTCTGTGCTAAGTGGCCACGAAGAACAAGTACCTGGTGATAAAACTGGCTGTGAGTAAAGTGTATTGCTGTAACACGTTCAACAGGCCTTTCCATTCATTAAAAAAAATCATTGGTTTATAATGTTTAGGATGACCCCGTAGCAACAGAAGAGAGCAGGGGCAGGATCAACTCATCTTTCCAATCTGTGAAACACAGCAGGAGGAAGGGAGCAGAAATCATTAGTTAAAATAAGTTTCTGGACTAGTGTGTTCTCAGGTGCAAAAGAGGAGCAATTCCCCTTGCTCTGAGTAGTTACAGAGGGTGTAAGGGAGAGCCACGGAGCTGAGCAGGGCGGCTGTCTCAGTGCAGAGAGAGTCCAGCAGCCTCCATGAGCAGGAACTCTTCTCCCCATATGAGCTGATCCTTTGGCTTTAAGCATTTTGAACTTCCTGAAGGCTTTTTTTTCCATTTCTTAAATGGAAAAATTCAAAACCAAAGCAGATGAATTCTACAGGATCCATTTTTTTTCAGTTCTTTTGTTGTACAAAATGGAGGATTGGGAAAAACCTGGCTGGGTGATTAGAAAAGCAAAGAAAATGGAAGGAAGAGGAAAGGCAGATACTTTTAGTTGAAGCTTGCAAACTCTCTGTGTTCAAAATGATGGAGAGGTCGGTGTATTACCCCTGTCCTACGGCAGTAAGGACTTTACTGCGTGAGACTGCGTAAGAAATTTCATCCAAGGGTGTTCTTTGCCAGTGAAGTGCTCATGTGAAATGGTACTTAGGCTCCGAGACAAATGCATACTGACGCAATTTTGTTGGTAAATCAAGTGTAGCAAAATTAAGCACCTCTATTCCTGCTCAAATTGAAAGAAAATTGAAAGACATCTACACAATAAATGATTAATGCCATTATAAATGTGAAGGTAACATCTATCACTGTTGAAACTACACAAACTAGGAGAGCTGTACAGATGATTTTCTGTTAAGTGTCTACCATATACTCTACAAGAGGCTCTCTCCACATGCACGTGTCTGACACTCAGAGGTTATTTCTTCAGATTCACAGTTACACGAGATTTCAGGAGATGATACATGTCAGAATATAAATACTCTCACCTCCTTGGAGTTGCCATCTGAAAATACAGATTATTAATATCTAGTCCAATAGTCACATTAGTCATTTTGTGCACCAAACATTAAGTATTTATTTGGAGAAAAATCTGTTTGTACTAAAAGGACAAGAATTTCAGTAAAAAGTTATTTCCTTTCATTTTGCTCTTCAGGGTAGGCTTAATCTATCTTAAATATGTTTATGATGGTATGTTTCTAAACTATATTCCCATGTCCTACAGGCTGGTCAAGATGAAGGCTGAGGCGAAGAACAAGCGTAAGGAAAGAGAGCAGGTGGACAATATGAAGTCTCAGGTGAAAGAGATGAGAAAGGAGGTGCTGGCAACTCAGTTCAAAGAGTGGACAGTGGATGTCAGTGGCAGAATACCGATTGCACTGGTAACTAGGGGTGATCCTTGTTAACACACTGCTGTGATTGTTCCAGACAGGAGGAGAAGGACGTTTGTGATAGTGCCATCTGCTCTGGCATGGCAGCATGGAGCACAAGGATGGGTAACGGCTCTGACATCCCTTGGGGTCAGGGTGCAGGTCGCTGTCTACCGCTTAGCCTCACCAAGCCCTGATTCTTCATGAGCACATGGAAGGATTGTGATGCATTGTCCACAGAGAACCTGGGAAGCTAAATGCCCTGTAGGGTACTCAGACACTCTGAGGTTGTTGGATACATACCTCATCACTGCACGTCCTTCTCTGCAGCTGGTTATCCCTCAGAATCCCCTTAAAAAGGTCCAGGGCAGCCACTCTTGCTCTGCTATGGCCTCCATTAAATCTCCTTTCTACTCTTGTCGCTCATACAAATTGACACTGTCTCATCTCATAAAAGATGAGATTTGTAGTAATCACGGTACATCTCTTTGTACAAGCATCTTTCTTACAAGCCACCCAAGGCCCCTGGGAAATTGTCCTACAGTTACACACAGCACGACATAGACAAAGTCTACATTTAACAGGGCCCACCTAGGTGTGGTAAGAAGCCTTGCTGGCCCATAGGACTCATTATTCTAGGTGATTTATTTTAGTAATTGCCTACAGTTGTCTGCATGGAACAGGTTTTTGACTATTGCCTTGATTTGTAGGTTCAGAGTGCCCTGAGGTCTTTTCCAGATGTCAGTGCTTCTACTCCCATAGATGTGAGAAAAGGTAAGTTTTTTATGTGTCCTTTATTTTTATTTTTGTGGTGTGAATTCTGATGCAAACTGTGAGCAAACAGTGAATGGATTTGACAATGGAGAAAGAATCTCTAAGGGCAGTTATACCAGCTAGGATATTAACCACAGATCTTTAGACAGATTGGATACAGACTGAACCACCATGTAGTTCGTTAATATGATCTTGAAAAGTATGGGAAGAGGCTTAAAAAGTCTTTCAAAGAGCTAGAAAGATCAGATGTAGGCTCTTTCTGCTTAGATCCTGCATTAGCCAGACATTGCTTATCATGATTTTTCAGAATCACTGTAACAATCTCCTTCATCCACTCCATCCCATGGTGTTCCTTGTCTCATGGGAGGTCTTGGAAAATCCAATGGACAGCTAGGCACTCTGGGAGGTATGGAGGGAAAGTAGGATTGAAAAAATTAAAGTCTGACAGTGTTGTTACCTTTTATGGTTTCATGGAAAATGCTGAAGCTTACCTAACACTCCACCAAATCTTGTCTAGCCGTTCCCTTTGCCAGTCCCAGACACGCCAGTGACACACAGCACAAGGGCCTCTGTATCGGAGCCCTTTGCACAGAAAGATCTCCATAATTCTTGTCCATTTTACATAGCTTACACTTGACCTCCCTGAATATTGATAATTGAATAGAGCCAGAAACATTGAAGTGGCAACATACAGCCTGCTGCCAGCCCTTTGCTTTAAGAGCCTGTAATGACCACCAGTAATAACAAATCTGCCTTTGCTGGAAGACGAGATGATAAGCAGGGAACCTCCAGAGTGCATTTCTGCGTGCTGCTGAAGTCGCCTCTGTCTAGAGTTTGCCCTTGCTCAGTGCTCTCTGTATTAGAATTGCTCCTCTGAGTAATCCTCCTATTGGCGGTGCGTTGTGCGAATGCCAAACGCAGCCCTTGTGCTCCTGCTGTGGTGGCTGTGGTTCTCCAGTGTGAACAGATACTGGGACATGAGATTGTGAAGGAAGTTGCTGTCCAGATGCTTGCTCTCCAGATGCTGGAGGTGCTTTATGTTGTATTTGACTAAGAGTGTGGCTCCTTTTCTTCATGTGTTTCATTTAACAGCATCCAATGTACATTAATGGAACATTAAGCTTTGTTTTATAGTTTAATAAAGATAATGTATAGTTTAGGAACATGTTAATCAACAAGACATAAATGCATTATATGGTGAATTTTCTCATTATTCCTGATATGTTGTACAAGAAAGAACAGAAAAATAATCTCAACAGAAATAGAATATCGGTTCTTAAAGACTGTATTCAGAAATTTATATAGATATTTGACATATCTTCTCAGTTCCATTATAGCAGCCCAGACGCTGACCAAAAGATGGTTTTGAATATCATCATCAGTAAAAATACTCCCACAAAACTTCTTGGGAAAATTACTATGATTTTCAGATTCCTCTCTTGCAAAGCAGAATCCATGTCCCCAGAATTTTAAGGCTGTTTCATCTGTTTGTTAAATCAAAAATAATTTATTCCATCATATAATTAGTTGTAAGTACTGTTAAAATCATTGCAATTTGCACCAATATATGTCAAGAATAAATATGACCGGACAGTTCTGAATAAATAAGTGCAGATTCTCAGCAAGAAAAATATGTGAGAATCAGATTTAGATAGCCTCTATACAGTCAGATGCTTCAGCTACTGTGTAGGATAACCTCAATAAATGTAATCCAATATGAGAAGAAAGTTAATGTAAAATACAGTGTGCAAAAAAATGTGTATAATATGTAAAACCACATCTGCTCGCTTTCTAAACCAATATCCCTTCATTTTTTACTAGCAATCTATGACAGGAAGCTGGAAATCGTAGACACATTGGAAAGAAAAGTAAATGTAGATGAATTCACAGAGGTGAGAAATGAAATAAGAGCATCTGATTCAGAATACGATGTTTATCACAACGTAATAGCAATTCCCTGGGGACAGCTGAGTAAGTGAAGGGCTACACTTCTCCAGCATCCCAGGTAACTGGGTGTATCAGGACGTTTCATGTTCCATCTCTGTATCCATCCTCTGCTGTCACAATGCTTCCATTCTGGCCAGCAAGTATTTTGCTTTCCTCAGAGCTGCAGGCTGTGCCGCTCTCCGGGAAGGTACTCTAGAAGCAGTGGTTTTTAGGACATCCCTCTTGTCCCTTTCTGGAATGCCAAAGCCCTCTGTCACTGATACGTTGAAAGGAGACAAACCTGGAATCACCTGTCAATTCAGATTTCGTGTCGGCTGCTCAAAGGAGCTTCAGTGTCCCAGTATAACCATTAGCCTGAGGTAATTAATACTGTCCTCAAAGTGTTGTTATTTTGGATGAAGTTCTGTTAACCATAGAAAAACCTAGCAAGTGATGAACTGGAATGAGCAGCTTTACCATTTTTCCCATGAACTATTACTGGCCTGAACCCCAAACTGCAACAAGTGTCATAAATGTGTGCGAAGCATAACCAGGCTAAAAAGTATGCAGTTTTAAAACCAAAAGCTGCCTTGAGAAACATCAGAAGTGTGATTTTAACTCATCAAGATCAAGAAACGTAGCTGGAACTCTCACCCCATTACTCTACTCTTCATCAATTTGAAAACAACCAAATCAGTTCAGACTAAATTTACTGAAAAACTCTCCAGGCCAAGACTCTGCAACCACTTCTGCCTGCGACAGAGCTGAGTTTTATGGCCGAGTAATTAAACCTGTGGGAAGGGATGTTTAGAAGAGAAATAATGACAGACCCTCAGTTGCAGCAGTGCTAGTGGGTGCTGTTGCAATAATTAAAACCAGAGTATAAAGCAGCTGTGCAGAGACTAATTTCAAGCAACCATGTGTGATTTTTGTGCCTTCTTCCCTCTCAGGAGACGCACATGTTTGGTATTTTGCACAGAGATGCATTTTTATGATAACTTGTTGAAGGCTTTTTTAAGCGTGAAATGAGGCATTTTTAAATTTAACCTCAGAATAACTGCATTTAATTAAGAAAACTGTTGTGGATAATGAGAGCCCAGAGAATTGCTTCTGTCACTGAAATGAAGCATCAATCCATAACCCCTGTGGTACATGTATAAGCACTGAATGAATTCATGCTCCATTTGCATGAGAAAAATGTTTTAAAATATATTTTGTGTACTCTTTATTTTAACTCAATTAAAGATATGACAACAGAGATCAGCAGTACAAAAGATATGGGCTGTCGAGCTGTCTGATTTACCAGCCAGTGCCATGTTGTTCTTGGAATATATTCTCTGATGCTTTTTCCAGTTCGGTTTTAATTGAATCAAATGATGAGGCTTTCATCACTTCCCTTGGGAACTGTTCCATAATCACAAGCCTTGCTCTCAGGACAGGGCTACTTCTAATCTTCAGCTACAATTTGCCTTTGTTCATCAGTTTGCATCATCCACCAAAACCAGAAAGAGAGATGACCTTCCTCCACACTGATCTAGGCCCTTTCACATGTGGAAAGCATTGCTTTTTAATGGACCTTAAAATTCAATGGCGCTTTATTTTTTTTCTTCCAGTGCAGCTTTGGGTTACTTAAAGGCTGTTGGAAACTCAGTGGAGACACCTCACGTGTTGTTGCTGTTGGGTTTCAGGGGGGTTTTCTGGACATGCAAAACAGTGGCTGTTGTATTTTTACATCCTTCGTGACAAGCTCGTGGGGTTGTTTATATTAAAAGCTTTTAAATCCCAGAGACCTGTTCGTAATAGTTTATTTCACAGGCTTTGTGCTCTAACATGCAGGACCCCCAGCAGTCTGACACAAAGCTGTTGACACAAGGGAAATACTCACATTGCCTTTGTAGGGTCAGAATCAGGCTTTAAAGGTGAGATTATTTTTCATGATTGCGTGTGGCTTCCTTGATTTCTGTTGAGATCAGCAGGACAAAGATCCACTGTTATTGATGATAATGTGTTCACAAACTACAGTGAGGTCTCACACAGGATAGCAACAAGGAGGTGTGCCAGCTTTCTTCTGATGGGTGTCAAAATCTCTTGGTTAATAATAAATAAATGTATTCTTATTATGTGTGCAGCACTTTACACAGCAGAGTGCTTTACACACATCGGCTAAGAAAAGCTTGTGACTCTACGAGAGTTCCTCCTGCCCACACACTCGAACATACGCTTCTAAAAATTTTTCTGTGGAGCTGTTAGACAGCAGTATGAACACACAAGCCTTTGGATGTGTCATCGAGATGACACACAAAATACCAAGCTGCTTGTCCAACCTGCCTCCTCCCAGCTGCTGTCATCTTTAAGGTTCATCTGTCACAGGGCTCCAGGCTGTAATAACTCTGAAAAGCTAGTAGGTACATGTAGCCCCAGATCTGGCACCTTCTCTCCAACCTACCTACATCCTCTCTTTTTATGCTGAAGTGCAGAAAAAACATACATTGCATTAGGAGTTCTTCTTTCCCACTCCTCAGGCCACTGGCTGCTGCTTTTCTGCTCTTCCTCTCTTCTCCACTTGTCCCATATACTGGGAAATTATGCAATACAAACATGAATAATAATAACATGTATTAATTCAGTTCATTAATGCCTGTGTGGCATTTCAACAAGTCCAAGATGTTCTAGCACTTATGTCAGGTATCCATACTCCAAAAATGGGATAATGGGAAACATTCTGTGTTTTGCAAATTCCTCTTTTTAACTGTTGGGCTCCTTGTTTACAGTGGCTGGCTCCAGAAACCTGCTGTAATAATTCAGCACGGGCTTTGAGATTGTGGTTTGCTCTGATGGCCATTATTATTTATGTCATGCACACCACATTTTTAGAACCATATTGCTTTTGCTCATAAAAACCACATGGCTATAAATCCAAAGTGTTAAAGTGTCTCCAAGGCTAGAACTTAAAATAAATCTCGAGTCAGTAGTATTTCCAGTGTCAGAGGACTTAGGTGACAGCAGGCTCATTTTCAAAAGGTTCTTTCCTTTTTTTATTGCATCCAGACTGGTTCTCTAAACACAGAAGTTATGGGCAAAGGTCATTTTGTGGCATTAGAGAGTTGAGTGACTGTCAGTTCTGCAAAAACTAATGGCTGAACATGCCTGCTTGGGAGTAAAGCCAGGAATACTAAATGCTGCAGAAAGCCAAGGAGAACTTCTCTCCTCCCTGAGATAAACTAGGATGGATTTTGATCCAGCATCTCTGAACCACTGAACATGATAGGTGACCTCTGGGCCTGGAAAGGAACTGTTGGATGTGCGTTTGAGCAGCGCCTAGTGCAGCAGCATCCCAGACTTGCTTGGAGAATATTGCTGCTTCTGAAGGAACAAAGTAGGCACCATAGCATCCATGCACCAAGGTTGCTTTACATTAGCAAATTAAACTACAAATTCACATGTATTTCATTGCATGCAATAGATTTTTAAGAGGGAAAATAAAGGTGAAAATACTTGAGGAAAGCTAACCATTTACACTACTGTTTTCTCTCCGTAGTATGTCCATTCCTACACTGAACATTTTTCAAATGACGCATTCCAAGAAATCCTGAAGCATCTCTGTCAGTGTGCTGATGACTTCCAAGAAGCAATAAGGCATGATATGTGCAGGCAAATGTTTACTGGTCTTTTCCTGGACTGTGATTATGGAAAGGTAGGCAAAGCAGCTCTCAACCTAATTTCAATATGGTGATGCTTCCAGTTTGGTATTTCTCTGGGTCACTGCCTGCTTTTTATTCTTCATGACTCCACATACTCTCTTTGTGCTTACTCAGCATTATTTTAGAGGACAATAGCTGCTGCATTGTCTTCAAATTCTTGGTTCTTAGACACAGAAATAGCCAACAGCCTATAAGCTGATGGCTAATTAGAAACGGAATGACCTAGTGTGATGACTGGGGGCTGAAGTTTGATGATTCTGGAGAAGAAACTAACCACAAACTTTGCTACTTGTGGTCATTACCTGTTCCCACAGCATGTTCAGAATGTTTGGGTGCTAATTTGTCTGTTCAGCCGTACTTCAGAAAAGATAACGTGATATAGATTGACCTTAATAAATGTGCACATTACTACAATAGGATCATATATTGTGTTAATCATGTTGCATTAATTTATACGCCTTTAGGGCTTCTATCAATAAATCTCATAATAGTTTAAATTTAAAATGCAAAATAATCTATCTTTACAACCTCTCTGAGAAAAGTACTCTGAACTTGAGCCACCGTTTATGGGCAGGAAATTAAAATACAATGAGTCAGTTACAGAGCTGGAACTGGAACTCAAAAGCCATAATTTGGTTTTCAGCAGCTCTAAACTATCATCCTCTGAATACACCTGCATCCCCATTAAATAATAGAAAAAAAAAAAAGGGTAGACTTACGGGGAAACCAGTAAATAGTAGGAGCTGAAGAATCAATGGCATAAGCTATTGCTAAACACTTGGTCTTCATCCAAAAGGTATGGTACTTATTATGAGTAGCCTCAGTTAGCCAGTTGCTGGCTACTACACAGCAAATGGTTGCCATAATCTTACAGTTTTCTCCCCTACATAAATTACATATTCCATCCAGCACTCCTGAGTGATGTTTACAGCACACCTACCCAGAATGAGCTGTACTCTACAATATTATGATAATAATGTCATTACCTCTAAGAGAATGGAATTATAGAGCATGTTTCAACACCAATGGTGTGTTTTAGAGAATAGCAAGCAAGCTGCTGTTTCAGGGATGAGGAAAAAAATATGTCTACCTCTCAGTTAGAAGACATTTCATTTTTCCTGTTGCTCAGTCAAGAAGAGCTATGACGGATCCTCCTGGGCAGTGTAACATGTAAAGCTAAGTTCTATCTTTGCATGCATTTTGAAAGGATCCCTTCTTCCCCTTTCATTTTTTAATGTCACTTTCTTCCTATGATTTCTGGGGCAGTAATCATGCTACTAATCCCACTGGAATCTCAGAGGCAAAGAGCCAAAACTGCTAGCACCACATAACAAGAGGGAGCAGCTATCAGCACTCTGGCCATCGCTGCCCAGAAAAAAATGATCAGAGCACGAATATGGTTGCTGTTTGTAGCCTCTGAGGTAGCCCTGCTCTGCAAACTGGGTTCACTAAACCATAGTGTGGACCATGCAGTTCTTTTAAACCTGAATGGTTTCTATGGTATAATTCTAATAAGTCCTGCCCTACTGTACCCACAGGGAAGATAAAAGATGCAAACTAACCCAAGGACTTCCACCGTTTGAATGTGATCCATTACCTGTAGTACTCATTCTGCAAAGCCCAGCGAAGCAGTTGTTTCAGTGCCTAATTTACATTTGTTTGGTAGCAGGCAGTTATTCCAGTCTGCATGGTGAGTGTGGCTGGCTGCCTCAGTGAGCTGCAATTAGGGCCAGGGAGCTGAGAAAGCAGTGTTTAAATTACAGTCAAATTAGAAGGGATCCACATGATCATTATTATGATTTCAAATGCATGCATCCAGAAGGATGGCAGCTCAGCAAGAACAGCCTGGACTATACAGTGGAGCAGAAATTTTCCAAGACAATACCAGAACACAGTTGAATCACTGCTTTAGTGCCCAAAAAGGCAATAGCTCTGTGAATTTTAAGCTTATTGTCTCTCTGTGCTCATGTAAATCAAGTATAATTTCTTTAGGATCTTTAAAAGTAACTGAATTTAGTCAGAGATTAGTTTTCAAACTAATGAAGTTTGAGACACTTCTGATTACCTTTCTTGCAGTACAGCAACAACGAAGTCTGCTTTCTCATGACCTTTTCTGAGTGTCTGTTCTTCCCATCTTGCTCACTAACAAGCCTATTGTGGTGCTCGAGATACACATATCTCATTTCCAGAAAAACAATCAAGCAGTTAAACACTGACCTATCACTGATTAAATGGCAAGTCTGGTTCAGTCTGTGTTGCTAAAGGAATTACTCATAGAGCACAGAACGTTGCTGAAAACAACCGAGAATCATCACCTGCCAATATCTGGGTGACAAGAAAATTGGGTCAACATGTTTCAACTCTCCAGCCACTAAAGTTGGCACCTGTTAAAAGTGGAGACAAGTTTTGGGCGGTGGTACAGACACAGATGGCCTCTCAGTATTTATAGTGGATTCTGTACCTGCTCTGCCAACCAGACTCAGTATGAAAAGCCAATGGGCAGGAATCTTTCATCAGCCTCCCCAGTCATACACCAAGGACAGAGAAACATGACCTTTTCTAGTAAATTTAGGAACCCAGAAAGATAACGTAACTGGATATAGGACCTGGGAACTGTTTTTTCTCTTGTAATGCTTCTCTCTTGGATAGATAGCTTTACTGTGACATGTTCTTCCCGGAATAAATTGTAAGGAAATGTGTCCTGAAATAAGAGACCTCTGGTAGAATGACAAATCTATAGAAATTGTAAATGTTAAACTAAGGTGGAAAATATACTCCCAATTCATATTCAGTAATTTTTTAACAGGAATTTACTATTTTTAACAATATATAAAAATACAATTATTTCATCTACCTCACAAAAATACTCTTCTAGAATCTGACTTATCTAAATCCTCCAAGCATATTGTTTTAACACAACAAAAAAGTACCCGAATCCCAAACCAACATTTTTGTTAATAATACTCCGTTCATTGGTTTACCTTTTTAATAAAACAAAGCTTTGCATTAGTGCTGCCAGCTTCAAGGCAATCAGTAGATGATTGTCACAGCTGAGGAAATTTAAAGGGAAAATTAAGTGTGTGCAATGGAAATACTGAATATTACGCAGTGATCTGGTAACATCTTCAAAAACATGTTCTGTGTTTGTATATCTACTAAATGGATGCAGAATCCAATCTGATATATTCAACTGAAAAACAAACAGCACAAAGAAATATTTGCACGGGAGCATTCAAGATATTTGTATATTTATGTCAAGAAGATGAAGACACTGGGAATCAGGGCCTACATCTTGTAAGTTTAGGGACAGAATTGTGTGATTACATTTGTTGTTCCAAACCCACGCGCGGCTGAAATTCAATTGTAATTTCCAGCACTTTTTTATTAGCAGGAATTAAGTTACAGGAATCTGAAACACTAAAACCGGACTGGACAACATGTTACACTTCAGTTCCAATCCTTTTCTCAGAATTTGCAAAAAGCTTTCAATTCCCTCTAGAGGAAAGGTGTTGCAGTAACAGAAAATGTGACTTATTCACTTAGTTTTCAGTTTTAGCTTCCTTGGGAGGCACTTCTCCACTAAGTGATGGGTATCTCTCAGTTGTTTTCCAGTCCTCTGTTCCTGAAAATCAATGTCATTAATTACAGTTTTAGATTATAAACAATGCAGTCATCTTGAGCTCATTTCTAGAAAAGAGCAGCAAACTTCTTCCTTTATTTCTTCAGTCTAAAGGCAAGAAAATTTCACAAGGAATTAAAAGCTCGATGAATTTTACATTTTGCAGTCTTTACTCTGAAAGCAAAATGTGAAAAGGAAATCAATGAGTCAGTTGGAAAGCTACTTACTACAAATAATGAACTTAAGTAAAACCATTCTCTAATTAACTACTGCATTTCACTAATGGGAGGGAGATTACAAAGGTGGCAGGACTGAAATAATGACAACAGGAATTCAGCATTAAATGGAAAACTTGCATTCACTTAGATTTGCTTTACTTTTCGTACTCACAATTTCCGCATTGGAAATGACCCATCTCATTGTCTTTTCCTAGTTTCATTGTCTGCGTGCACTCACCCTGAGCAACAAGGACTTAAACCACTGTGTGTTCCTTTGCACTGGAACTACGGATACCTCTTTCACCTCTGTGGTCAAATGTGGATGGATTTTTAAAGGAAAGTAGGGAGGTTGTCATAATAGCTCAGATTTTTGGACTAATATTTTTCCCAGGCACTTGCCAATACATAATGCTTCAAAGGAAATGATGGGGCACAAAACCAATCTACAATGTGCAGTCACTAACATAATACAGCACAGCCCATAATATGTGGAAATTCTTCCCTAGCACTGTCAGGCAATCAATATCTGTCCTGAAAGTGTGAAATGTTGAAGCTTTGATCTTTACATGAAGAACTCCTTTGGCAGAAGTGGTTACAATCATCCAACTGTAATTTGTCAAGAATATGCAAGAGGATGCGCCTGCAAAGTAATATGTATAAGGAGTTCCAGCGAAGCCCTATGAAATAAATTCACTTCTTTGAAATTTGTATTGATGTTCCGGTAATGGATAATTTTCAGTCACAGGTAATTCTTAGCTAATGGTGCCTTTGTAGTGCTGCAAATGTTGATGTAAGTCCCAAGAACCAGAGACAAAATACAATAATTGTAATCTTTTTGTCTAGGTTGGTCGCTTAGGGAGACAAAAAATACTTGCCCTTCTGGCAGGCTTCTATGACAGAAGCCCGACGATGGCTAAGGGGGGATTCTGCAACCCAAGACAGTGTAAGTATACGGAATGTTTCAACTGTGGTCAAGGCATTAGGAGGACACGTGGGGCTGTACAGTTAATCGACGGTTTATAATTGTTACCCGAAATGGACAGAGCCTAAAAAAGGACCCAAACGAATGCTGTGACCTACCTATACACCATAATTTGCAAAAGTGTTTTGCAAACGGTGATGCAATGTTCAGAGCTACTACAGCATCCAAAACTTTTCCTTCCTACAAAATTCAGAAGTACTTTTTGGAAGTAGGATTAAAGAGAGACTGCTTTTCCTGAAATAATTGTTCTTTCTTACTGGGCAATATTAGAGGTTAATTTTATGTTTACACTAAAATTTCTCCAGGAACATGGAAGGAAAAAAGATAAAGAAAAACCACAGAACTCGTCTACATGAAAGTAAAATATCTTTAAGATATTGGACATTAATTAAATGCTAAGATCAAATGCAAGGCAAATTACAGCTTTCCTTCGTAGTGTGGAGAATTATGAAACATTTATTTCAAAAGAAATATGGTGCAATAGACAATAACAAATGCGGTTCTCTGCAGGCAAAGGCATTATTCTGAAGTTTTGTGTTTCTGAGATGTGTGTTTGCAGAAGGTACTTTCTGATAGTTTTTTAAAACACATTTTTAAAAAATGTTTTTTATGCAATACTAGAGAACATTAAACCCAATGCAAACTATCAACTTATCAATATTTTTTTCTATTTTAGGGCCAATAATAGAGCTGCAAGAGATTGAGCTTGTGGATTTATGGGGAGGTCTTGATGACCCGGAAGTTTGTGAGGAACTCAATGAAAAGTTAGTCTTGTCTCAAACAGGAATTTCTGAGGGAGAGATTTTAGCACATCAACCTGTAGGTGATAACAGACAACGTATGTATAGAATGAGAACTAGCGTCAGAGAAGGTCTTTTTGAACAAATGGGCATGAGTGAAGCTGAGACTGGAGGAATTTCTAAGGAAGAAAACCAAGCAGCAGAATCAAGTGATTCTGAGTTGAGAAAGGAATGGGAGGACACTGTGTCAGCAGTGAAAAGCACTGATTTTGAAGCTAGTGATTTGGAGGGAGATAGAATACATAGTGAGAAAGCCAGTTTCCAGGAAGATATCAAAACGGAGAGGCAAACGGAGTCTGCAAGTGAGGACAGACAGGAGGAAGCCTCTACTGGGTACAGTCTCAGCAGAGGTGGAGAACCCGGATCTGAAAAATGCATGAAGGAAGAGGAATTTAGGCTGAGTAGACAGCCTGATACAGAAACAAAGAGGGAAGAAGATTATCATATCTCAGACAGAGAACCCAGCTCAGAAGGGCAAGTTAGTCAGGAGGACAATTGCATTGCAGAGGTAAAGAACACAGTTTCAGGACCCGCACCTGAAGCTACAACCAGGACCTCGGAAGACAGAGCTGCGGCAGACACGGACATCGTTGCTTCAAAACAGGATGCTCCAGTTGCAAATGTTGCGAAAGAAACTCCTGCAAGAAAAGAGAGTTTTTCTAGGCAGCATGGCAGCCGGTTTGGCCAAGAGACAAGCTCAGAGACAAGACTGCAGGATGAGGACTTTCTGCGAGACCAGGGTAAAGGTAAAGCATTCTCTTTTGTTCTGGCAGACCTTAGTCTTTTTTCAACATACACATGTGGACTGGTTTAACTATAGGTGTGGTTTTAATGCGTTTCAAAACTATTGAAAGCATGTGAGTGGTTTCTGAAGGCACAAGACCATAAGCTTTGATATCTTCTCAGCATGGTGTTTTCTGCCCAGGTTTCAGAGTGTGTTCCTCTCACAGGATGGCAGGTGAGTCACTTTGCTGGTGATCTGTATTCCAGGCACTGAGCAGACACTTTAATTCAAGTAGGGACTTCCTGAAGCAGCAGCATTTTTATAATAAGGAGAAACTTTATTTTCTGTTTCGCTCTTTGGTATTAGTATAGCAAGACAGGAGCCTGTGGACGTTAAATATAGAAATGACTTTTAATAATTTTTAGACTCTGATTGCCCATAGGGAGATATATTATTGGATCACATGCCAGGAACCTTGTATTTTAATCTCTCACTGTGTTTCCAAAGGAATATCATACTTCTTAATTGTGTACAAACGCCCTCATTCTAGGAAGGCTGTGAAGGACCAACTTCCTTGCTTGCACTCTGTGAATACACTCTTGCGTCTCACAATGTAAAACGCTGCAGGAACTGGGTCTGCATTGCCAGAGCGGTCCAGTGACAGACTGATTACATAAAGGGCTGTAAAGCTGATGGTACAGCCCACTGGTACTTACAGCTTTCTGTGGTTAACTTCCAGTACTCAGCACTAACCTGTCATTCAGCCAGTCCCTGGATGCGCATCCCACATTCTTTAGGGCATGAAGTACTTTCATCTTCAGAGCAGGTTCCCACCCTGTTCTCACAGAAGCAATGGTGTAGTGGTACGATGCTCTTTGAGAGAAAGGTGAATGGAAATATCTATCTTGGAAAAAAGTTATATTATTGCACTTGCTAGAATGGATATTTGTAGCTGGGCTTAAGAAATGTAACACTCACCTGGTGAATTTCAGGAACATTTCCAGACAGTAAAAATAAATAGTAACTGATAACAAGGGTAACTCCAGAGACACAGAGGTAGATTTTACATATTAATCACCAGGGTGCTCAGACTAGTAAGCTGTGGTTCACAGAAGATTTCCTTTTTAAAATTGCAAGTCCAGCACGCTCAGACAGACAGGGTTCTCCAGCTGAAGCTAACCAGGAGTTTGAAGTACCCTGGTCAGGTGACTGCTCACATCAGCTCTTTTCATCCACTCTAGAAACTATAACTTGGATATATGTATATAAAGGCTTTTAGAAAAACTGTATCTTGTGTCTTTTTTTAAAGCCTGTGTCATTACAAGGTGTATTTTATCTTTCATCAGGTGACCTTCTGACTTGTGACCTAAGTTGCAGGTTTAGCAACTATGGAGTGAGAATTCCAGAGGACTGGAAGTGTGAGAACACTAGATTTCCAGGTATTTGGTCACAAAGTTGTGTGTTCACTTGGGCACATAGTGGCTGGTAGTGTCTGCAGACATGCCAGTACTGCTGTGAGCTGAAAGTTTGGATAAGAATACAAATGCTAATTCCCGAAGCTGACTCAAGATAAGAGCAGTGTAGTCTTTGTGTCGGAAGGCCACTTGCTGCACAACAGTAATTTCAGCTCACCTGTATTCAGTGATTTGACCTGGTTGTATGATAGCATCCATGCTAGACTGGAGCATAAATCTGAAGAGATACTATTAGAAAAGTATAAGCAGATTAAGGCCCTTAGTCAGCATGGAGTCAGTCCGTATTCAGCCATACTTTCACTGGATAAGAAGTGCAGGGTTCAGGACTGCATTGATATCCTCCACGTGGCCGGCTTTAGGGCAGCATTTGGCTTCCTGTGACACACTGCGCTTTCTGTCTTTCAGACTTACATCCCATCATGGCAGAGATTCAGAACCGTTGGGCTTCTCGTACCAGGAGAGCCTTTGATGAAAGCTGCCTCAACCTGCCACAGTTTGTACAGCTCATGGAGACATTTGTTGGCGAGGACATTTCTCTGCCCACTGTGAAGAGGCTTATTGCATTTATCAAAGAAGAATACAAACAGACAGAAGAGGAAAAAACAGAACAACTAGAAAAAGTAAATATTGATAAGTTTTGCTGATCCTATGTCCAAACAAAAAACAAGCAAATGCCTACAGACACTGACAAAGTCAACTTTTAATCTCAGGCTGGCAGAGCTATTCACTTGCAGCCTTGCATTCTCTAGTTCTTCAAGAGACCTTCTACCCCTTTGTTTTCCTGTCCTCCCTCCCTAGCCCTTAGCTCTAGAAGTGATGACAGACTCATCCTGTAAGAGGTTGGCTGTCTGTTCTAGAGCTGGACTCAGTGAGACAGCAGGTTGACAGTTAATTGTGAAAGAGCTCAAAACATTCCATTCTGCTTATTCACCTTTATAATAGCCAAGAACCTGCTCTCTGACCTACTGCACTGGCATGTACTTATGAGGTTGTGGATGTTTGGGGGAGGATTTTAAAACAAGTGTGTTTGGTTTTGCTCTGTGCATGGCTGTATGTGAATGTGCACACGCTTGTTTGTTACAAAGTGCTCCTGCTATGCGTTGAAAAACATATTCCCCCTTCAGTAATATCCTCATGCACAGCATCAGGGTGCCCCGTATCACCTCAGAGTAGAGATACATTTGTGGTGGGTCTGTCCATAGTAGCCTCTCTAGCTGCATTTTCCTCAGACCTCTTTCTAGTTTCCCTCTGTGCTGCTGACCTAATTTGGATGAGATATTGGATCTGACGGCTCTACTGTCCTCACGCTGAACGCGACGCACGCTGCCAGTATTTTGGCCTTTGAGAGAATTCCACTCCAGCCATTTATCACTGTATGCTGTGCAAAGACTGAGTTTAAAGGACAAATTGTACATGCATTTGCTTGGAGCCCACATACTTCAGGGCAGCACCAGCAAAATAACAATGTACGGAAATACAAACTGTCACCTGTTTGGGTGTTACAAACAATCTGTGGTTAGTTCTTGCTGGGAAGATACTGCACTTACCTGAGCTGATCTCACCTTAGATTCAGCACAGGCTCCGTTTGTTCACTGGGAAATAACCCAGTGCTGATTCTGCCTGGTAAAACTGAATTGTTGGCTGTATTCAGTGTTTCCAAGTATCTCCCAGGTTTAATGATTTATCTGCAGGTCTGAGCTGTGTATTTACGGATTTGGCCTGACCCATAGGAAACTGTATTTTCCATATTTGTGTAGACATTGAGCATCGGTGTCCAGGAATTATCAAAGACTGGCTGTTTCTCTGTTGTAGGTTCACCGCATCTCTCGCTTGGCCCAACGGAAACTGCTTCTGGAGGCACTTTTCGAAAAGTGGGACAATAATGCGTCTGGGTTTCTGGACCTGGAAGAGGTGGATGCTGTTCTAAGCACATTCAAAGAAGGGATGGAAAAAGAGGCCTTGAGGAAGGGTAAGGAAAGAGCTCTGCTCTGAGAGAACAATGTCAACACAGTAGGCCTTGAACCATTCAACAACAGTGCTAATGAAGTCGTTGGCAAGCACCGGTCGTTTTTTGTTTTTGCAAAGAGTCATAAGCATACAAGGTATGATGTATAAAATGGAAAGGAACAGTTACCCAGACCTACTTGTTAATGCGCAGCTCCATCCTCCTGCACGAGACTCCTCTGCGACAGATTCCCAGTCAGAGAGGTAGCCCAATGCTTTCATGACATTGTGATGTGTTGAAAAAATTCTTTCAGCTGTAACATGCAACATATAGTTGTGATCTGGCAGTGAAAAACACACATAAAGCCTGAGGACACATTTTGCACTTTTAGTCTAGCCTGGCTGTGTTATCCAGGTATTTTTAATAAACACATTTTACTGTACTATCTGTAGGAATGTATCTCATAGGAGAGAACATCAGCTTTCCTTATGGGTCTCAAATAGCCTTTAGTAATCCACACTGTTGCACAGCTCTCATGAATTAGATAGCAACTTGGAGTCTCACTTCTCTGTTGGTTCATTTCTCCAAATAAGCTTAGCAAATTGGGTCCTTGACAGAGCAGACTTGAGTCTGACAGAAGTGCTGCAGGTTCACCTGGACCTGTCTGGCAGCCTCGTACATATTAACACGTGGGCATTAGGTGCTCTGAAATACTGTATTAGCAATTAAAAACATATCTGCGTGTGTGCTTGGGTGGAGACACTGGTTTATTCATCTCCACGCATATCTTCACACTGCTTGTTCTGCCACACGTTACTGAAAATGGCTCATTTTGGCAACAGCCAAAATCTCTTTATTCTTTAGCGCACTTAAGGCAGCTGGTGGGGTGAGGAGCGCACCGGTGTGCTACAGTTAATTCTCTCCAGGCTGCAGAGCCACACAAGAAACTGGCAGTTTACAGCTCCCTTGTATTCAAAGCATGCCAGAACACACTACAGAAATATGGAAGGACATAGTCCCTTCCATGAAGGGCTCATAAACCAAAGGACAAATAAATAGAAAGATAGCAGAGCAAAATCAATACCACCTACACGCAACATAAAACTATTTCTAGCAGCTTCAACCTCATCTCTCAAAGACATCGTGGAATGAGCAGGTTTGGGGGAAGGGTTCACAGACATTGCAGTCCTCCTGGATGAAAACACAGAGTGAAAAGTGGGTAGAACTATTTGATTTTCCTTTTAAGTGAAAAGCGTAATGTTACAGATATAATGGGGAAAATAATTCATTATGCTGTGGCTCAGTAATGAAGACATTGATCATGCCATGTTCAACTTCACGTGTATTTCTTCATCTCTTTCTTCAAAGAAAGAAAAAAGTGGAGGTGAAAATCCAAATATATTTATACCGTCAAGAAATTCTCCATCATACTTCTGACAGAAAATCAGAAATTAAGTTAAAAAATACTGAATGTTCTTTAGGTGATGGGCAGGACAAGACAGCATTAACAGTCAGCTCCACCATGACAGGGGCCAGGTAGTACTTGCCACTGCTACAGCTCAAATCAGTGACAAAATTTCCCCTGACTTCTGCGGGGGAAGGAGGAGGCTCTCAGCTCCCGTAAACGTCAGTGTCTTGAGTGCACTGGGACACAATCCGGGCAGCTCCCTGCCTGTTCCTGGGCATCGTTAATCCAAGCATTTTCTATTACACAGTTCCGTATAGACCGCTGCATGTATCGATCACAGAACACTCCCTGCTCAACAGCGATCCCTCCCCGACCCTGCCTTTGCTTAGTTTGCCAGCGAGAAGCAGCCTGAGGAGCAGCTCTCTTTCCTTCTCATTCCTTCTTCGGGTCCCACAGGATTTGGAACCAGGATGCCGGCACAAATGATGGCAGTGTCCGTCACGGCGGCGCTCAGGAGAGGCACTGCCAGGAGCGTGACCAGGCAAGCCCAGCTCGGGCAGAGCAGCCGGTGAATCCCGGGTTTCCGAGGCCAGGAAAGCTGCCGGCGGCTTCCAGCGGCTGTGCAAGAGCACGAGCACCCCCGTGAGCCCGGAGCGGCGGTGCGGGCAGCGGCGGCACCGCGGCCCGGGAGAACCGGGACAGGGTCGAACGACGCGGTTAGACCGACTGCTGATTTAAGTAACATTCCCATAGAAACCGATGGGGTAAATTGGCATTTTCGTGCTCAGTCGGTTGGGGTTACAAGTCTGGGATGAGTCCCGTTTGTCGTCAGGACCTCTGGGCAGGTCGGAAGTTTGTGAACTGGAGTGAGTAGATACAGGAATGATTCTCGAGAATCACAGTTTGACCTTTGTGGCATTCCTCAGTTCTCCTTCCTCCAAGCGAAAGAAAACTCTGCCAGACCTTCCTACTGCATAGTATTTGCCCATATGTGGGGCAGTTCAGCTGCAATATCTGGCACACGAGAAAGGGGACTGAGGCACAGTTCCACTCTCCGGCCTTGTGGAAGATGGGAAGGAGCAGCCTCCATGCAGTCGTCTTTACTTCTTTGCTCCCCTGGGAGCTAACAGGAAGCAGTTCACTGCTTTAGATGTTTTTCATACTAATTTATTCTTCTAAACCCAGCATTTCTTATAAAAGCTGTCTTGCTCCACATCTACATGTCTTGGTGCAGTGCAGGTGATTCCAGAGCACTGTTGTCCCAACCTCTGTACGACTTCAATAGAGTTTTCATTTTCTTTGCTCTTCGTTTATGAGATTTAGGACAATGCAAATGTTATTTCAATAATTCATCAAAGGCACCTAAACCAGGGTAATCAAGAATGATAGTTACTTTGGAAGGCTTCAAAAGAAAAACACAATGTCTGCAAGTATGGTATATAATGGAAAATCCAGGAATATGAGTGATTTGTGAAATCATCTGTAGACTCTGCCCTTCACATTTTTAATGGCGATGAATAGTTTTTCTGGAAGGTCTCAACTACTATTTCTGTACACAGAATTGCCTACCTGCAGCCCAGTCCCTCAAGTGTCCAAAAAATTTAGTTCTGACTTTTGATAACTCCAAGCAGCTTTCCTATTTTCCATTGACCTTTACTGCTTAGGTATGTTGCAGAGGTACAAAAGGGGCACAGGAGAAACACCATGGAGGTTTCTTTCTCCGTAGGTGAGAAAGTAGGAATCTAGAGGAAAAGGTGCATCTAGAGGAAAAGGTGCATCTAGTCTTCAAGCTGGAGGTTACCAGTCGGGATGATGACTTACATTTAGGAGACAGCTGGAAGAAAGCCAGAATGATGGACTGGAGCACTCCACCCAAAGCCAGTTTAGGGCTTTGTTCATATTTTGCACAAGAAAACCAGAACATTTTATTCAAATAGACTGTCCCTGTCTTATTTTCTGTTTCTTCTACTAGCAAAGAAACACTTTTGCTCCCGTTACCCCCAGCTGAGCAGAGCGGGGAAGCTATCTCCAAAGGCATTCCAGATTTTCCTTGAGTTAGTTGCTTCCGAGTTCACTGGCGATGAGGATGAAGCTATTGATAACTTGGTGGAATTTCTGACCAGAAGCGTGGAACGAAGTCACGTGGAGTGCCTGCAAAGCTTAACCAGGAGGAAATGGCTGCACAATATCCAGCAAGCAGCTGAGACCAGCGGAACAAGCATGGAACCAGTTTACAAAGCAGTGTTTAAGGCCCTCTCCCAGGTACGCATTCTGGGGAGCAAAGGAATTGTTTATGTTGAGATTGTGACGCTGGCTTCAAATCCTGATGCATTTGAGCGGAACTCACAGGTAGCATGGGAAGCTGGTCTGAGGCTGGTTCCTTGGGCTTTTCTGCACTTGGTTGGTGTTCAGGAGAGCCAACAGTTATGCACAGAAGGAGTCACAGGTCAGATCTGCAATACAAGAATTTTCTTGTCAATACAGAATACGTTTCATGGATACTTATGTCTCACTTTTTGAAGGGGTGACTCAGATCAAGTCTGGAAATCCGTAGTTCAAGTTTTGGACCTTCTGAAATGAAACATACCAGACTCAGTCTGGGACAAAGATGGTTCGTTTGTAGCAGAGATAATTTCATTTTTGACTTGCAGCTGCAACTTTAGATTTGTCCTCACCATTAAAGCCCCTTCAAAGCAAAACTTCTCTCATGGTACCTGAGATGTTCTTACAATATTGTCTAGATTTGTAATAGCAACTCTTGGCACTTGTTTGATTGTTCCAAAGGAGTCTCCTATTGGAGAAGAAATCTGTAGGAGTTTCACTTAGGCACAGGTTATAATCAGGGATTATTGTTATATGAACTGCTCTCCATTAGCAGCAGGAAAAAAAAATCCATTCTCCTTGCCAATCAAAATACCAAGTGTTTTTGCTTGTAGCAGAGCATAGCGGTCAGACGCAATCACAGCACAGACACGTACATGTCATGCAATTGGTGCCTGACAGACAAACTCAGTGACCCAGAACAGCATCTCAGCAAAATGAGACAAGTGCTAAGTACATGAAATAAGTGTAATGGCCAATGGCTAATGTACATAATGTAATGGGAAACATTTGGTTGCTAGGATGCAGAAGCCCATGGGAATAACAAGAAGATCAGTGCATATATTGCCCTTCTGGAAGAGAACCAGCTCTCACCAGAGCGGGGACAGATTCTCCTGCGCTATGTGGCATGTACCCCAGATGATGCTCCATATGTTCTAAACCAGATACTTTACAGAGACATGAAAGGAGTAAGGTAAGAAAAGCTGCAAATAACTGTTCCTTTTTCTCAAAAATATTTGGAATGTAGGGGTACCAGACAGTGCTTGGGGTGCACTGGAAACAGAAGTTGATAGAGTACTCCAGAGAGGAAATCCCCTCAGGGACCGTTGTGGAATGATTCATTATTGTATACATGCCCTTCTACTTTCCATGGCCCGCTTAGGATGGCTCTGTTTGGGATTTCACTCCTTTCCTTGGGGAGATTAGCTCACAGTCTAATAAATCTCATCCCTTAGCAAAAGTCTGTTTTATTGGGCCTACATCTCCTTCTTTAAAAATTAATTCCCTTACACCAGTTTACATCCACAGGATATTTGTTGAGAACAATGCCTTTCCTTCCACACTATAAACAGCTTTCATGCCTCTTCATTTCTCTTTTCCAAAAGCTAGACATGTTTGTCTCTTTCTTTATCTATCGGTTCTTCTAACCTATTAAATGCAACTGCTGCTCACTTCGGTATTCCCTTTCATTACATTCATTAGTTGATGTTTTTAAAATGTCCTAAGGATGAAAAGTGCTTTATTTATTACCACTGTCTTTGGGATGCAAGTGGCAAATGTGGTATTTCTGGGTGTGGTCACAGTAAGGAGCTAACACCTTCCTTTTCTGATGCCAAAAAGCAGGGAGAGCTCAAAGCTGCAGCATTTATTGCTTTGCTAAAGGTTTTCTGCTGCTCTTAACAAACATCCTTGTATGTTTATTGTTCAGCTTTGCAGCTGCTGAAGAAGGAAAGCCAATCCATGTTCCAAGAGTTCAGCTCCACAGAAATATCCACTTCTGGAACTATGACCGCCCAGTGGAGGAGAGAAGAGGTTCACTCCTGGTACTGCCATTGCACGATGTTCGCTGGAGAGTCTTTGGCATTCTAGGACTTGACACTCTTCGGGACCAGTGTGAGACAACCATCTTTCTGACCCATGAGATCAGTTTCTATCAGGTGGGCACCATCAGAAAGCAGTTTGTTAGACCACTCTTCAAAAAGCTGTGTAGGGACCACGTGAGTTTTACGTGTTCCTTCTGAGTAAATGGAAGGTCTACAACTAAGAAAGGAACTGTTGGGCCCATTTTTACTGTATATGGTGAAAGTGATGGAAGACCTTATCAGTATCTTACTGATTAGCATCTTATCTGTAATTGATTATTAGGTATCACAACATCAATAATTTATATTTAAGCTCCTCCTGACTAGTAAATTAATTGTACTTTTGTGTGGAGCCTAAAGATAGTAGCTTTTATTTCCTGAAGCTCTGAACCTCGTATTTATGTTTTGTTTCTGTAAATGAAACCTTACATTTTACATGGTGGACCAATTATAAGCAACAGAAGTCCGGACTTCTTTGGGATGCTCTTTAGAACCAGCCTCATTGTGGATGCATCATCTGGGCAGCAGGGAGCGCAGCAAGCCAACATTACCGGTCAATTTGGCTATCTATCTCCACTAAAAACCAACTTTGTCTGGTTCAGGACTTCTCTCTGACCCGGGGGCTCTAGAGCTGTAGAGTGTTATTCAATAAGGGACATTTCACAGTCACTTTTCAGCTTTACGAGTTCTGATTAAAGTATCTTGTTAAAACCATTTTGCTTCGTTTTCCTGCATGAACGTTTCCCCGTTTTTTTCCCCAAATCATATGGAACTGTCTGGCTCATTTGGAGGATTTTGCTTTCACAGGGAGTTTCTCATGCATTCAGCAAAGCCTACCACCATGTCCGCACACAGGAAAAATTTCTACAAATGGCTGTTACTGCTCTGGACTGGTTGTATCCCAGGGCACCCAGGATCCACACTGTAATCACGTACCTGGTGGAGCCTGGCAAAGACAAGGTACGCAGATTACTGCAGTGAAAAGGCTTGAAAGGCTACTTCAGTGAGGATGTGCCATTTCTAGCTCCCTGTCATTTCCCAGTGGTTTGATCATAAAAACCAAAGCCTGCCTGAGATTCTTGTGCCTGTGCAACAAAAGGGCTACAAAGGTAGAGAGGGAAGGTTCCCTCTGTAAAGGAGGCCACTCTTCATTCATCCTCCCATGTAAAATAATTCAACAGCACTGCTAGCGTTTCTCCATGGGAAAAGGGAATATTGTCCTACTTCAATGCTCATAGCAACCAATAGAGCAAAACCTCACTCCTATCCATCCATCCATCCATCCATCCATCCATCCATCCATCCATCCCATCCATCCATAGGTTAGCCAACACTGCAAGTCCCTGCTAAAGCTTTGCTTTTGGGACCTCCACAAAAGGAGCTACTTTTCTGTGGAGATTCTGCATATATCAAAATTACACTATTTTATAGGAAAAAAGAAGGTCCTAGTTAATGTATTAGCTTTTTATTCTGAACTAATGTCAGCAGCCAAGACATAACTACAACTCAGGAAGTGGCTGCTCCCAATTAGCTCGCTTGTAAAGGCAGCCCCACTCCCTGCAGATCATATTCCAGTTGCTTAGCAGGCACTCAGGTCCTGGGAAGCTTGTCGCTTCATGTACAAGTGAGTTAAGAAGACAAAAAGTGTATGCAATATTTAGGACTGATCCTGTGTCATCACCAAGTCCCTATGACATCTGCTGTAGCCATAATTCAGCTGCTTCCTCTGATAAGCATGGTTTATGTTGGCAGCTCTCTGTTGTCATTCCAGGCTCTGCACTGTTCCCTTGTTGGCTGCCCGATAGCCAGGTCATTTGCTCCCCTCCGTGCTTTTCACATGTCACACTGACACAAACATGACATGAGAAAGAGGATGTGAAAAAGAAGGGAAACCTCTTCTTGGCCTGCGGGTGTTCCTCAGTGTGGAGCCTGGAGATGGATTAAATAGTCTGGCTGAGGGAGGTTCAGGGCACATTCTTCATGCATCTTGAGCAACACACTCTGGGAATAAAACCAAGCATTGTTGGGAGATGTCTTTAAACCATTCCATTGCACTTGAGCGTACACAAGAGTTTCCTTGAAGAAATAAACAATTTCCTCCCTCTCCAAGCTTTAAAATGGCTGTTCCTTTCTTGGATGCAGCTAAACCTCCTTTTTCTCTCTGGCAGACATGTGACTACGCTCTGCGCAAGATGATTACTACAGATAATACAGGACAAAAAGAAATTCATAGCTCTCCTGCTCTTTTCCTCAGAAAAGAAAACCTCTTAAGGTAGGCTCCAGCACCTGCCAGTGTCTGGCTGTAGCTCTCTCACTGTCAAGGTTTCTGGTGTGTATGCATGTGATACTGAATTATGAAGGAAGGAGTGAGGAGTATTTTCTCTTTGAGTTTAGGCCTGCAAAAACTTAACTTCCAACTTAATCCATACCAGCTGAGCTGCTGAGCAAGCTCTACATCTGCTATGAAAGGTTTGCAAGATTAGAGCCTACGCTGAAGCTTTTTGCTCTTCAGAATAATCTGTCCTTTCTCCTGGCCATATTAGTCGCGTTCCCTTCAACTATCTGTTTCCTTCCACTGCCAAGATCCTCACAGACTTGTCTTTTAAGCATATCATAGATTCATAGATTCATAGATTCATCCATTTGCTGTTCCAGCAGATGTTCTTACTTTTTATAAAACTCTATAGAACAAGTGTCAACGCGGTTATAAACAGGAAACAGTTTTTAAAGCAAAGTTTGTTAAATTCTTATGATTTTCAGCAATCACCTTGGCTAAGCAATATCATGTTCCACAACACTATTTTCTCCTTTTCGTATATGGCTTGAATGATACTTAGCGCTGTGCGTATTTCAGTTCAAGGAAATAAACAATGATTTAGTAATGTAATACCTTTGTTTTAACAACAAGAGATGAACGGCATCTTACTAAAATATGCTAAATAAATTACAAAAGAGAAACCAGAATGGTAAAGTCTAGTATATTTTCCTCTCTTTACTCTCATTTCAGAAATTACCTATTTAAGTGTGTAGATAGTTCAGAGGTCATTCGCACTTCTGTCCGTGGAGAATACCACATTGCAGTACCTCTCCGTGACCTATCAGGACAAGCTTTTGCGATCTTTGATATCAGCATTGGACACCACCAGAAATTACCACCTCATGAACACAAAGACCTGCAGAAAATGCTAAAGATGGCCCAAGCTGCCTGCTCTGAGATACTGAAAATATCTGTGGAGGAAACAGAACCAACCTATGTACTGGGTATTGTGCATACAGAGCCAAGGGAGTTTTTTTTAGGGATAAACTTAGGAATCACAGTAAAACCACATCTAAAGTATCATTCCTACAAATATGGAAAGACAAACACAAACCTTTGGTACATGTAAACTACTCCTGAGCAAGCCTAAGTGTTTAGCAGAGTATGGCTAAACAGAACGTTTAGATTTTGACTCCAGTTTACAGGATATTTTATGCCCAAGTCCCACTGAAATCAAAGGTGTGAAGCAAGGTGCTCTGTTGCCTTCAGGGATTTAGCATGTTCTCCTCAGAACTGCCCCAACTAAGATCAAAATAATTTGAATGTCACAGTTCCATCATTAATTACCTGCATGCCTAAACTCTTCATGGTCTCAGGACCTCTGCTTGCCCCTGAGGCAAGTGTTGTCTCCTTCTCAAGCACACACTCATTTTTAAAAGATACTTGGGCTGTACACAAATCGATCAGTCAAGGAGACAAAGAGTTAATCATAAAGAGGGCAGAGCCTTTCAGTTGATAACATAAGTCTTGAGTAGCAGATGTTTCTGAGAAACTTCTTGAAAGATTTGCTTTTGATTCCAGAGGCGGAACATGTGGCAAATTTGAGGCATGCAGGGATTCTGTTCCACCGGTTCATGCTGCAGGACCTGCGAGAGTGTGTCCAGAAACTTGATGCTGAGAGCTTTGCTGAAATAAAGAGCTATGTAGAACCCCCAGCTCTGGTACACAACATAGTTAAGGCTGTGCTGTTGCTACTCCATCCAAACTGGAAGGGCTCAGAGAAGACTGAGAACTGGAGTCAGTGTATACTGGTGAGACTTCAAAATGTTGACTCTTTTCCTGCTCTTCTTCCCCAAGAAGATATAGTGGAATTTTTGAAATTTGAAATAATTTGTTACCTAAAGATTTCCTATGTGCTTGAGTTAGCCATCTTTAATTCTGTAACCCCCTCTGAAGTTCTCTTTTTGTTCTCTGCATTGCAGAAACTTGATGAAAATTTGATTCAGGAGATCTATTGCTTTGATCCAACTGCTGCATCTGTGCAAGTTCAAGCAGAGCTGCTGCTGGACTGCATCGCTGGTAAATATAATAAACTAATTGGGAGATACGGCTCAGCAATGAAACAGTGTCAATGGCAACCTTCAGCTGAGTGCTTTTAAGGTCCTTGCTTCAGAAATGAACTTTGATTTCACAATAGATTAAACAAAAGATAAGGGGTCCTAAATATCTGCAGTCTATTTTGGTCAATAAGGGTCAACCTGTTAAATTTAGAATCAAAATTCACTGCCTTAAAGAAAAAGGAGCAGATCAGCTTTGAAACCTACCAGAACAAGTGATCTCATTGTAAACACCCAGATAAACATATTAAGAATGATGGTTCTTTTGGCAAGTAATCTACCCTGGACCACCCTGACCCAGCTCCAAACATCAACACAATTGTGGGAGGACAGTGTGAGCCCTCCTCTTTATAAACACCATCTGCCAGGTACTTCACATACTCACTGGCCACATACAGAAGCTGGGTTTCAGTCTGTCTTTCTCTCCTATAATTAATATGAGCTTTTTTGGTGACAGAGCAGTCAAGAGGCTATAATTATTTGTAATATCTCTGCAAGAGAAATGACTGTTGTTCTTGTTGACATGTCTCCCTTGATGATCTAATGCCAGATGAGAGGCCTGTTAAAAATCAAACCTAGACAAGACTTGTTAATTTAGCTGAGGGTATTTATCAACAGTACCCTGCTTACTGATGAACAGTAAACACTTAGCGCAGTCATAGTCCCTTTTCATGCGTTCTCCTTATATATATTAAACTAATTCACTGGAAAGAACAAAGCAGCCCTAGAGCATCCAGTCTTCCTCCAGTTAGGGATGCAGATGTAGCTAAAATAATACAGGTTTGGTAAACTGCTAATAAGCTACAAAAGGTTAGTTTCCCAGGATGGAACTTACTGAGAGAGAGCAGTGACAGATCAGTGGTGTGTGAATACAGGTATAGCTCACAATTATAGGAATTCCTTTAAAACATCAGTGTTCACACATGGTGTGTGTTGGACAATGTTCATATGTTCCATATGTGTGCTGTAATATAGAACAGAGCACATATCAGCCTACATTCTATTGACAGAACAACCTTCAATGGTATGATTCCATGGTGACCTTTAGTAGCATTTGGTAAAAGAGCTTTGAAGGACAATTACTCTTAAATCAAACCTAAGCTTGGAAAAAAAAAAAAGCACTTTTCTCATTGTATTTTTAATTATCAAACATTTACCATTAAAATACAGCTGAGCGCTTTGTACAACAGAGGACCTACCACAATACAAAAGAAATTATAATAAAAAGGCAGCACTCCTCTGCTTGACCATTCACTGTCACGATAACGCTGTGTGCTTTTCAGAGCATCGCCGTTTTCCAGGGTGGAATTACTGGACTCGAGGAAAGCTCCGCTGACGGGATGCTCTGCTCTGTTCAGTCTTGTGGCAACACTGGTCGCAGTTTTGACTTGGCTTTTGGAGTTACCTCTTCTCTTTGTTTCAGGTGTACCTCGAGCGGCGGTGTGGCCGCACCGCTCCGCGCCAGTGCCCCGGGATACACCCCTGCCTGTCGCTGGCACAGATCGCACGGAGCCAACACAGCCAAAACCCTCCATCTTCAGCCCCTTCTGGCATCCAGTTCTAATATGCCTCCAATTAAATCTCTAATTCCTCATCAACCGTTGTTATTCTGGTATTTGACATCTTTAATTAAATTAGCTGTTGCTTTTTGATTTGTTATGCATAGCTACTAAGTATTTGTTAAGACGGTAAGATGTCTGTTAGGGATTATTAAGAATAAGCAATAAAAACATTAAAGGAAACCATTTTGCTAGTTTATCTACTAAACTTTAAAAGCTTGATTAAAGTTTTTTTTTTTTAATTAATTGTCATGAAAGAAAAGAGACGAAGGGAACAGTTTATTACTACCAAGCTACAATGCTTATAAATGATACAGCAAAAATCTTCAAGGTTCCGTCTCCTTAAATTACTTTTTAGGAGTAATTTTAACTAAAGGTTCTTAATCAGCATTTTGTCAAGTTCTAAACGTGTTGCAGAAAAGCCCAACACTTTTAATACAACAAAACCCGCTTTCTTATTGGGATAAACCTTGAGATTGCCGCCAGCTGCGCTGCCTGCAGCAAGATTTCATCTTTCCAATAACGCTTCTTTTGGCGGAATCACTTTTTTAATAACATTTTG